TTACACAACAGAAAATACAAGATTTACATTTATAGCCTAAAATGTGAGCTGACCCATTACATTCCCTACTGGTTTTATCTGGGAATCAAATCATTGATTCAGCTAAAACCTCCACGTTGTTGTTGTTTTTTTTTTTTTAATTTTATTTTTGTGTGTGTGTGTGTGTGTGTGTGTGTGTGTGTCCAGCTCAGCCCACCAGGGGGCAGGGCTGGCTGGCATGTGGTGCTGGGGGATTGAACTGCAGTCCCTGTGCTTTGCTAAGCTTGTTCTAAGTAGGTGCTTTAGACCACTGAGCCATCTCACCAGCCCCATCCACGTTGTTATAATTGTCCCAGGAGCATGAGGGATTCATAGTTAGATCTCAGCATCACCAACTTGATGGTCTGGATTTTTTGAACATACTTAGTTAAACAGTTTATAAAACAGGGCCCAATAGAGCCAAGAGAAACAGGAGAACAGGTCCAATTGAGGCAGGTACAAGGAGGCATCGAGAATAGTCTCCAATTTTTCCTTTTGACAAATCTCTAGAGCCATTTTTTTTTCCTTTGGCTACATGACACCCCAATTGTTTTACATATTGTTCTGCTATTTTGCATTAAATATCAAACCATATGTTTAAATCTCTCAAGTCTCACACACTCATGACCCTTTATGGTGATGTTGTATCAAATTATTTTGACATGGGGTCACCACTGCTAATTCTACTCAAATAGCAAGGAACATTAGTTAACAACAGAGTCTGAGTAAGCGGGTTTTTCTAGAACTCTAGAACAGGCAATATCTCTCATGTCCCCACTGGTTTTTGTGCCCCTCTTGAGCTATAACATTGACCAGGTAGTTTCCTCTTTTGTCTTAAGGTCTGGCCCACAGTGGGCAGCATCCATCTCTCTCAAGATGTAGTCTCCTTGTCTTTAATTCTGTCTCCTTGAGGGCCTAGCCCTGTCTGACTGCCTATAATATTTTTATCTAACTTGGCTGCTTGCAACATTTCCCCCTCTGAAGAAGTAACCCTGGGGTTGGGGAGATGGCTCAGTAGAATAAGCACTTCCCTGACAAGCACAAGAGCCTGAGTTCAATCCCTGGTTCTGAA